TGTTGACTTTTATCTTCAGAATAACAGCATTATTGCTCCTGTCTTACAGCTAAGAAAACGAAGGCACTGTATAGTACTATGCCCAAGAGCAATGACTCTGAGTCTCTTTCCTAAGCCTGTGAATAATGCAAGCAACTGATATTGCTTGAATATCACATTCTCTGTGTCCAGCTTAGACCTTCCTAAAGATCTTCCGTTTCCAATAGGCTAGGATTGGAACTTTAAAAAAATTACCTTTTCAGCTGGGCGTTGATGGCGCATGCCTTTAATCCCACCACTCGGGAGGCAGAGGCAGGTGGATCTCTGTGAGTTCGAGGCCAGCCTGGTCTCCAGAGCAAGTGCCAGGATAGGCTCTAAAACTACACAGAGAAACCCTGTTTCCGGGGGAAAAAAAAAAAAGAAGAAAAAAATAACCTTTTATTTTCATTTATGTGTATGTATGTTTCTATACATGCACACACGCGCGCGCGCGCGCGCGCGCGCGTGCGTGCGTGCGTGCGTGTGTGTGTGTGTGTGTGTGTGTGAATCCCGAAGAGTTGCATATACAGGCAGCTGTGAGCCACCTTGGGAATCGAACCAGGGTCTTCTGGAAGAGCAGCCAGTGCTTTTAACAGCTGAATCGTCTTTCCAGGCCACATAGTCAGCTTCTTATATAAATTCAGGTCCTGACTGATTGCCCAGAAAGCCCTTTTACCCATTGAGCCATCTCCTGAGCCCTTGTTTTTCATTTCCAGGCAGTCTCTTAAGTCACTCATTCTGCAGTCCAGCATGGTCCATGAACTTGTGGTCCTCCTGCTTTGGCACCTCTTCAATAGACAGGGTTAGAGTCAGGAAGAACACTACACAACTTCTTCTTCTTTCTAAAGCATGTATGTAAGTGAATATGCCACAGCATGCCCTGTGAAAGGTGTGTAAACAACCTGCATGCAGAAGTTTGCCCTTTGCTTCCATCATCTGGGTTCTGGGGATTAAGCTCAGGGCACCAGGTTTGGTAGCAACAGCCTTTACCTAACTGAGTCATCTTGGCAGCCCCACGCCCGGCATATTCTTTAATAAAAAAAATTAGAGAAAAATCAACCCAACTCCACCCTTCTAAAGAAAAATTGGCGGATTCCACCCTTATGGCAGTTACTGTTTAGAAAGGAGGGGTGTCCCTCAGTGGTGTAGGGGCTGATCCGTTGCCTCTGACTAACCCTTCACTCATCTCATGAAGAAAATTCTAATAAATCCAGTGTGTCACAAAACAACGAAGACATGAAAGGAAAGGAACTTTTGAAAGAATCGTGACGTAGCAGGAGCTGCAAAGGTCTGAGAGAAGGCAATGAGGAGTGAAAACGGTCAAGGCACGCATGAAATCTGCCAAATTAAAAACAAGTAGTTTGGGGGCTGGAGAGCTGGCTCAGTGGCTAAGAACACTGACTGTTCTTCCAGAAGACCTGGGTTCAATACCCAGCACCCACATGACAGCTTACAACTGTCGGTAATTCCAGTTCCAGGGGACTTGACACCCATGGCAAAAATACCAATGCACATAAAATAAAAATAAATCTAAAAAGTATTTTTTAAAAAGTAGTTTGAGCAAAATTCCAGGACACTGGGTAAGGTATATAGCTCAGAGTGAGAACCAACAATCTACATAACCTACTCTCCACCAGCTGGAAATTGCAGGTCCCAGCTGCAAACATAGGAGCTTGGTATGGTGGCATTAGTTAGAGGGTCAGGAATTCAACGTCATCTCCTACTACATGATGAGTTCTTAGCTTTCTTGAATTACACATGACTCAGCCTTTTAGAAAAACTGGGGCTGGAGAGATGGCTCAGAGGTTAAGAGCCCCGGCTGCTCTTCCAGAGTTCCTGAGTTCAATTCCCAGCAACCACATGGTGGCTCACAACCATCCGTTATGAGATCTGGTGCCCTCTTCTGGTGTGCAGATAGACATGGAAGCAGAATGTTGTATACATAATAAATAAAATCTTAAAAAAAAAAAATAGAGAGCACCCACTCTGCTCTTCCAGAGGATCGGGGTTCAATTCCCAGAACCCACATGACAGCTCACAAGTGTCTATAATTCCAAGATCTGACACCCTCATGCAGACATACATGAACATAAAATAAAATGAATAAATTTTTTTAATTAAAAAACGAAGAAGAGGGTCTGGAGAGATTGCTCAGCAGTTACGAGCACTGGCTGCTTTTCCAAAGGATCTGGGTTCAATTCCCAGCAATCACGTAGCAGCTCAGAACTGTCTGTAATTCCTGTTCCAGGTGATCCATCACCCTCCACAGATACACATACATATATAAATATATATGTAAATACATATATATATATATATATGCAAGCAAAATATCAATGTACATAAAATACAAATAAATAATTTCTCCGGGCACTGGTGGTTCACAGAAAAAAAGAGAAAAGAAGAAAGAAGAAGAAAAGGAGGAGAAGAAAAGAAAGAAGAGAAGAAAAGGAGAAGAAAAGGAAGACGAGAAGAAAAGAAAGGAGCAAGGCGTTGGTGGCGCACGCCTTTAATCCCAGCAC